GTGGTGTAAATATTATGCAGAGAATTTATAGTGGAAATTAGGAGATGTAGAGTTATTAAAAGTATTAGTCAGAGGGCTGAAGAATGGCTGTTGGTCATTTAGAGAGAATGGAGCAAAACAGAATGACTTGGAGAGCGTATAAATCTGTAGGGAAAGAAAGGCAGGATAGGGAACGTCCTCGAAAAGGGTGGTGGGAGGGGGGTAAAGGAGGTTTTGTGGGTGAGGGCTTTGACTCCCAGGAAGTGTGCGTGAGCGTGTTAGATAGGTGTGAATGGAGACGAATGGTTTTTGGGACCTGACGAGCTGTTGGAGTGTGAACACCGTAATATTTTGAAAAGGGTTTGGGGAAAACATTGCCAATTGAGTTGGAAATGGGAAGTAAAAATCCAGCTTTTTAAAGGGGGGGTTTGGGATATTTGCAGTTTGGGGGGGAAACTCAAACTGTCTTATTGATACCTCTGCAAAGACAGTGAAAATGGTGGTGATGGGAAAGTTTTTTTCTTTCTTTCTTTGGGTTTTCCTTTTTTTTGGGGGTCCCCCTCCCTTGGGGGAGAAAGCGACGAAAAAAAAAAAAAATTTTCAGGGGTTAACTTATGCTGTAATATATAGTTTGAATTATGTCTAGCAAAGTACAATTGATTAAAGCAGTAAGTATTTTAGTATTCACGAATTTTTTTGCAAACATATTATCCTAACTTTTTTGAAAAATTTATTTTTTTAGTTTTTGCATCAGTACTGTACTGCAAGAACTCAAATTAAACATAATAAATGGCAAAATTTTTTAAAATTATCCACTAATTTTTTAGCATCTTTTACTGCAGTCAACCTCTTTTTCCCAGTGCTTTATAAGACAAAAAATCGATCTATGGGAAATTCCTGGCCCCTCCCCAAAGAATTATATAAAAAACTTTATATCTGAGGCTTGCACCTATTTTCTGTGTCCTTAAATCCCAACTTCAACTAGAGTTGTTTACAACCACGATAGGTGCCTCTGTTATTTCGAAACTTTAAAATTTAAGTCATTGAACCTGGATTTCGTAAACGAAAATCATACATTTGGATTTGACCACTTTTTGGGGGAAAAAATTTTGGTCGGATTTCGACCCCCAACCCGAAATCTACGTATCAGATGGTCACCCGCCGGGAACTGCCTTTCATGTTTTGATCTCAGGCGGGTTGTCACTTTCGAACGAGCATTACTTTGTTAACTTTGAGTGTGACTGAAAAATTATGCCACCAGGGCCCAAAAAAAGTTCCTAGTGCCAGCCCTTTGGTTAAAGGTGAGAAAACAATAGAATTTAAAAAAAGAGATTGTAGAAAAAAATGAAAGTGGTGTATGTTTTGCCGAGTTGCCAGGTTTATGGGGAAGTCGAATTCAAAATCTGCTCCTTTGGGAAAGAAAACAGAATAAGGAAGCTAAAGTTTGCGAAAAGGGAAAAATTTCTAAGAAACGCACAACAATCGAATTGGGAAAAAAGGGATGTAAAGTGATTTAAATGTTCATTTTTTTCCCTTTCATTGTGCTTTATAACCCACCACCCGACTTACGACCCGCCGACATACGACCCTCATTACAACCCTGTTTTTTTTTGCAAAATTTTTTGGGAAAAAAACAACTATTTGTTTTACACTGTTTTTTTCCCAAACCTTACAGTTTAAAAAAAAATCTAACAGCTAAAAAGTAAAAATAAAACATGAAATACCAAAAAAAAACAATAAAATAATCATTAAAAAATGGATTTGTATTCGTAGTAAAGTTCGACTTTTGTCCATTTTGACTTATGACCGGTTGGTCGGAACCGAGCTCGGTCGTAAGTCAGATGGTAGGTGTATTTATTTCTCATTGTTTTCTGTATGTAAAACTAAAGTTATTCTTTAAAAAATGTATTTTTTGTTAATATTTTTGGGTGTCTGCAACGGATTAACTGTATTTACATTATTTCTTATGGGAAATATTACTTTGGTTTTCGTACGTTTCAGATTTAGACCGACCTTCTAGAACAGATTAAGTACGAAATCTGGGGTTCCACTGTACTGACAAGTCTTGACTGTGATTCCACACAGTTTTGCAGGCTTTCAGTTAAGATAGGAAAATAGTATCAGCATAAAAGGATAAAATCAAAAGATTTAGTAAATGGCAGAAAACATAGGTGCTGAGATCAGACAACTGAATAAGCATTACTAAACTCTTCCCAGAGTATATTAATACTGTATAATATAATACATATAGTAAATATATGATACTTGTACATGTTTATAGAGGGGCCACAGATATATCAGATCACTTTCTAGTTGTAGCTACACTGAGAGTAAAAGGTAGATGGGATACAAGAAGAATAGAAGCATCAGGGAAGAGAGAGGTGAAGGTTTATAAACTAAAAGAGGAGGCAGTTAGGGTAAGATATAAACAGCTATTGGAGGATAGATGGGCTAATGAGAGCATAGGCAATGGGGTCGAAGAGGTATGGGGTAGGTTTAAAAATGTAGTGTTAGAGTGTTCAGCAGAAGTTTGTGGTTACAGGAAAGTGGGTGCAGGAGGGAAGAGGAGCGATTGGTGGAAATGATGATGTAAAGAGAGTAGTAAGGGAGAAAAAGTTAGCATATGAGAAGTTTTTACAAAGTAGAAGTGATGCAAGGAGGGAAGAGTATATGGAGAAAAAGAGAGAGGTTAAGAGAGTGGTGAAGCAATGTAAAAAGAGAGCAAATGAGAGAGTGGGTGAGATGTTATCAACAAATTTTGTTGAAAATAGAAAAAGTTTTGGAGTGAGATTAACAAGTTAAGAAAGCCTAGAGAACAAATGGATTTGTCAGTTAAAAATAGGAGAGGTGAGTTATTAAAGGAGAGTTAGAGTATTGGGAAGATGGAAGGAATATTTTGAGGATTGTTTAAATGTTGATGAGATAGGGAAGCTGTGATTTCGGTATATGGCAAGGAAATAACATCTTGTAGGAGTGAGGAAGGCCAGTTGGAGTGTGGGGGAATTCGTGAGGCAGTAGGTAAAGGGAAATGGGGGTAAGGCAGCCGGGATGAGGGATAAGATAGAATGTTAAAAGCAGGTGGGGAATTAGTTTTGGAGTGGTTGGTGAAATTTGTTTAATAAATGTTGGAAAGGGTTAAGTACCTAGGGATTGGCAGGAGAGCATGCATAGTCCATTGTATAAAGGCAAAGGGGATAAAAGAGATGCAAAAATTATAGGGGGATAGTCTGTTGATTGTTACCGGGTAAAGTGTATGGTAGATTTTATAATTGAAAGAATTAAGATAAGACGAGAAAGGATAGCAGATGAAAAGGAGGCTTTAGGAAAGGTAGGGGGTGTGTGGACCAGGTGTTTTACAGTGAAACATATAAGTGAACAGTATTTAGATAAGCCCTAACAGGGGTCTTTGTGGCATTTATGGATTTGAAAAGGTATGACAGGGTGGATAGGGGCAATATTTGGCAGTGTTGCAAGTGTAATGGTGTAGAGGTATTACTGAAAGCAGTGAAGAGTTTTTAACGAGGTAGTGAGCTAAGTTAGAGTATGTAGAAGAGGGAAATTTTTTCCCAGTATAAGTAGGCCTAAAGACAAGGATTTGTGATTCACCGTGGTTGTTTAATATATTTATAATGGGGTTGTAAGAGAAGTAAATGCGAGGGACATGTCAAGAGCGTGGAGTTAAAAATAAAGAATCAAAACACAAAGTGGTAGTTGTCACAGCTGCTCTTTGCTGATGAAACTGTGCTTTTGGATATTCTGAAAGAAGTTGCAGAGATTGGTGGAATGAATTTGGTAGGGTTGTGCAAAAAGAAAATTAAAGGTGAATACAGGAAAGAGTAAGGTTATGAGGATAACAAAGAGATTAGTGTGAAAAAGAATTTTGAATATCTGATTGGAGGGAGAGATATGAGGAGGTGAAACGTATTAATATTTGGAGTGGACCTTCAGCGGATGGGTAAGAAAGATGAGGGAATTTCAAAAATTGATGAGGGAAAAAGAGTGAGTGGTGCACTTAGGAGTCTGTGGAGACAAAGAACTTTGTCCATTGGGCAAAGAGGGAATGTATGAGGAGTATAGTTTTAAACCAACGCTCTTATATGGGTGGAAGCGTGGGTGAAGAATGTTGAGCGAGGAGAAGGCTGGAGGCAGTGGAGATGTCATGTCTGAGGGCAATTAGTGTGGAATATATGCAGAGACTTCGTAGTTTGAAAGTTAGAGGAGGTGCGGGATTACCAAAACGGGTTTGTCCAGAGGGCTGAGAAGGTTGTTGAGAGTGGTTCGGACATGTAGAAGAGAATGAGCGAAACAGAATGACTCAAGAGTTGTATCAGTCTGTAGTGGATGGAAGGCGGGTAGGGTTCGCCTAGAAGGGTGGAGGGAGGGGGTAAAGGAGGTTTTGGTGTGCGAGGGTTTGGTACTTCCAGCAGGCATGCGTGAGCGTGTTTGATAGGAGTGATGGAGACAAATGGTTTTTAATACTTGACGTGCTGTTGGAGTGTGAGCAAAGTAACATTTATGAAGGGATTCAGGGAAACCGGCAGGCCGGACTTGAGTCCTGGAGATGGGAAGTACAGTGCCTGCACTCTGAAGAAGGGGTGTTAATTTTGCAGTTTAGAAACTGTAGTGTAAAGCACCCTTCTGGCAAGACAGTGATGGAGTGAATGATGGTGAAAGTTTTTCTTTTTCGGGCCACCCTGCCTTGGTGGGAATCGGCCGGTGTGATAATAAATAAAATAATAAATGATACTTGCCAAAATTTGGCAGTCTGTTTAAATGCTGGTTCACACTATTTGTCCCCACTGTTTGTTTATACCATTTTGTTTGCAATATGCAGCACTGTAAATGTCAATAACTATAATAAGCATCTAAACTTGTTTCTGTGTACCAGTACAAAAAAGCAATCTAAATTTGTTTATATGCACACGTACCAGTCTCTGCTATTATATGTGTACTTCTTATTTGTATTTTTAAACAAGTTAATCATCAAAACAAAAACCTAGCATGTTTCAAAGAAATAAACCTGTTTATTAAGACTGGGTGAAAATATCCTATTTTTGATACTTTCTCAGACTTTTTTTTTTAACATGTTGGCCATCTCCCATTGAGGCAGGGTGACCCAAAAAACACTTTCACCCTCATTCACACATAATCACTGTCTTTGCAGAGGTGCCCAGACATGACGGTTCAGATGTCACTCCAAACAGTAAATATCCTATATCCCTCCTTTAAAGTGCAGGCATTGTATTTTCCACCTCCAGGATTCAAGCCCAGCTAACCGGTTTCCTGAATCCCTTCACAAAATATTACCCTGCTCACACTCCAACAGCTTATCACGCCCCAAAAAACCAATCTCCATTCACTCCTACCACCCCCACACATGCCTTCTGTACGTCCAAGCCCCTTGCACACAAAACTTCTTTCAGCCCCTCCCTCCATCGTGTACATAATTATAGCTAATAAAAAGCATTAAACTTCATGTCTTAATGTTGGTGAATGTGATAAGGAAAGAAGCAAAAAAGTGTTTAGAAGAGTAAGTGTAAGATGTGGTGAAAAATGGCGAGGATAAATAGGTTACCATAGCAACTTCTGATATAATAAAAATACAAGTTAACTGGGAAGATCTTACTTAGTACTGTCCAGATATAATGAAGCACTTCATTGTTATTGGACCTTTTTTTTTTTTACATTCACAATTAACAAAACCTGTTTTTTTTTTTTAATTATTATAAACATCAAAAAGTATTTTAACTAGTTGAACAATACTCTTAGTATTAAATTCTGTATTCTTTTTTTTAAATGTGTACATATTATGATAGGTCAAAATTAATAAAGAATACCTTAACTGTCTCAAAATCATTTTCTCACATTCTTATATCTAGAATTTTTAACAACCAACCATAAAACAATATCTAGAAATTTTAACAATTAACCATAAAACAAACAAACAAAAAAAGCTTATCACCTTTTTGCAATCATCTTCAAATTATAAGAGATAAAATAAAAATGAGTGAATACATTAAAGTATACAACTGAAAATAATTGCTTACAACCTACTGTAGATTCACTTTCATAAGGGCAGTGGTTGCTCTCATCATCTATGATTATAGTTCAAACCACAAGCACCAGTGACTTCAAATGCACTGAATGAGAAGTCAAGGCAATATCAAGGTCAACCAAGCTGGTTGTGAGACAATGCTAATACTACAACAAACCACTTTGCCTGCAGCTATTCTATGGTGATTAATCATAAAAATCTTTATAAAGTGCAATTCTGCAGCAAAACTTTATATAGACAAAAATACATAAAGGATTAGGATAATGAGAGCTTCATTAATCCCAGTTTTCAAGTGAAAAATATTTAAGGAGACGAAAATGACTTTGCAGATGTAAATCGAGTAATCATGTCAAAGGCCCACTGTGGCTGGTCATGTGGAACCATATGTCCAGCATTGCGAACCATGACTTGAGCAAAGCCTGGAACCTCTCTCACATAACCAGCCACACTGTCACCCACACGCCATATGGAACGTGGTGACTGTTGAAACTGTGCGGCATTCTTCCACTTCAAGGAGGAGACGAAGTTCTCCGTAAGTGTATACGCGACGATCACATCCAGTTGGCCATTGTATATCAACACACTGTAGTTATTCATCAACTATGGAGAGGAATGACCACATAGTTTAACTATTACTGGACATATTAAAATAGTATTTATTAGGCATGCTTTTCCTTGAAAGAATAATTTTTGGTGAGCATTTTATTAATAACTGTTTTTGAGATTATCACTAGCTAATGTTGGTATGCAAGATTCTGTATATACTTCGTAACAAATTGTATAAATACATATTCTTAAAGTTGGACTGTGACTTACAATATTTTTACGCTGCATTTCACTAGCATAATAAATTGCAACAGTTGTAAATGGATGTGTACCCAGGTATTAGGGTCATTAAATTACAGCTGCTAAATTATATCTTCGGCCAGGTCTCTGTTAACATTTATGAATGTGTATAATGATGGCTCATTTTAACAATGTGAATTAATCTACATTTTCATACCCTCAAGTGGAGAAGGGTTTTACATTATTTTCAGAACACTCATAACTTCAAATGGCCTTAGCTTTCTCCTTCACCTGCCCTGACTTCTGGCTTACACGATTCTCTCTCAGTACTGAATAATAATAGTCCAGGATAGACTTAAACATGGTCTAAAGATTTATGTCCAACTGGTGAGTTAGCTGTGAATGCATACAATTTCATATGAGACTGGAAGTAGAGACAATAAAACAAAAGTTTATGAATCCATAAATAAAATATAAAACGTACCTCTTCAATCCAAGGTTTCACACTCTGCATAATATCTTCTAAGAGATACGTCTCAACCTCTGAGCCATCGTTGAACGTCAAGTTTCCAACGTGGATCTCTTTACGTACATTGGTCTTGTTGATAAATGGTGTCCAATACTGCATATCCTGCACACAAAATTTTTTATTTGCAATATGTATTAGGCCAGCTCCACAGCATGCACCATCACTTAACCAAGCATGTTAAAATTCATGTATCAACCTACTACATAAATGATTAAAGTTTGTTAAACTACTACTGTAGATAATAAATTATTAATTCCTCACCTTTTCATACTATGTCTTCACTTGTTTTATTAATATAAATGGTAAGCCATGTAATCTCTTTCCTCCCTTTTCTTTTTACCTTAATCAACAATAAAGATCATTTATATAGAAAACTGGCTGGCTTTGTCTTTGGCAGAGAATAAGTTTTTTCCATTTACACTAAAGCGAGTAACCCTGAAAAAATTTCCTTGACATTACTTCCACTACTTACTTACTTACTTGCACTACCTCTGGCCTTTTCCTTCTTGCAACATTCACCACCCATGCTTCACTCCCATATAAGAGCATTGGTACCACCGTACTCTCATACATTGCCCTCTTTGCTTCCATGGATAACATTCTTTGTTTCCACAGACTCTTCAGTCATCAAGCTATGGTTCACATCATCTTTCACAGGCCCATCTGCTGACAAGTCTACTCCCAAATATCTGAACACATTCATTTCCTCCATACTCCCTCTCTCCAATCTGATGTTCAATCTTTCAATACCTATATTTTTTGTTATCCTTATCACCCTGCTTTTACATACCCTCCCAAATTTGTCCACCAACCTCTCCAACTTCTCTTTAGAATCTCCCAAAAACAGTGTCATCAGCAAAAAGCAACTGTGACAACTCCCACTTTGTGTTAGATTCTTAATCTTTTAATCCCATACCTCTTCCCAACACTCATGCATTCACTTCTCTTACAAACCCATCTAAAAATATACTGAGTAACCATGGTGACATCACACATCCTGTCTAAGGGCTACTTTTAATGGGAAATAATCTCCTACTCTCCTACATACTCTAACTTGAGCCTCACTATCCTCATAAAAACTCTTCACTGCTTTCAGTAACCTACCACCTATTCCATACACTTGCAACATCTGCCACACTGCAAGGTGATGAGAGTAACACAGCAGTTAGGCAAGAAAATACTAGATATCAGATTGGTGGGAGTGAATATGAAGGAAGTTAATCCATTTACAGTCTACCTCCACTTGATGTAGATAGGGACTGTAAGAATGGTTTATTAAGTGAAAAATACAATAAATGAATCTGATTTTCCTATGAGAGCAATGACTCACCTCAGGTTGTCCATCAGCAATGTAGTTATAGTAGTTAGTAAGTCCAGTTACATTGGTGAAGTATGATGGGTATCCTGTTTTGTCTCCATTCAAGAGGTTATCAAATACCTGAGAGGAAAAAAAGGAAAATTATCATACTGTATCAAAAAAGGAAAAGGAAACTTGCTCAGTTCATTACTGATAAAAATTATTATTTTTTTTTTCAACAAGTTGGCCATCTCCCACTGAGGCAGGGTGACCCAAAAAGAAAGAAAATCCCCAAAAAGACAATACTTTCATCATCATTCAACACTTTCACCTCACTCATACATAATCAGTGTCTTTGCAGAGGTACTCAGATACAACAGTTTAGAAACATATATAAAGATATATAACATATCCCTCCAAACTGCCAATCCCAAACCCCTCCTTTAAAGTGCAGGCATTGTACTTCCCATTTCCAGGACTCAAGTCCGACTATATGAAAATAACCGGTTTCCCTGAATCCCTTCACTAAATATTACCCTGCTCATGCTCCAACAGCTTGTCAGGTCACAAAAACCATTTTGTCTCCATTCACTCCTATCTAACACGTTCACCCACGCTTGCTGGAAGTCCAAACCAATCGTCCACAAAACCTCCTTTACCCCCCCCTCCAACCTTTTTGAGGACAACCCCTACCCCACCTTCCTTCCCCTACAGATTTATATGCTCTCCATGTCATTCTACTTTGATCCATTCTCTTTAAATGACAAAACCACCTCAACAACCCCTCTTCAGCCCTCTTGACTAATACTTTTATTAACTCCACACCTTCTCCTAATTTCCACACTTCAAATTCTCTACATGATATTTACACCACACATTGCCCTTAGACAGGACATCTCCACTGCCTCCAACCGCCTTCTCACTGCAGCATTTACAACCCAAGCTTCACACCCATATAAGAGTTTTGGTATCACTTTACTTTCATACATTCTCTTCTTTGCCTCCATAGATAATGTTTTTTGTCTCCACATATACCTCAATGCACCACTCACCTTTTTTCCTTCATCATTTTTATGGTTAACCTCATCCTTCATAAAACCATCCACTGACACATCAACTCCCAAATATCTAAAAACATTCACTTCTTCCATACTCCCTCTCCCCAATGTGATATCTTCTACCTTTATACACCCTCCCAAACTTGTCCATTAACCAACCTTTGCAACTTTTCTTTGGAATCTCCCATAAGCACAGTATCATCAGCAAAAAGTAACTGTTCAACTCCCATTTTGTACTTAATTCCCCATAATTTAATCCCACCCCTCCCCCCAACACCCTAGCATTTACCTCCTTCACAACCCCATCTATAAATATATTAAACAACCATGGAGACATTAGACATCCCTGTCTAAAACCTACTTTTACCAGGAAGTAATCTCCCTCTCTCCTACACACCCTAACCTGAGCCTCACTATCCTCATAAAACTTTACAGCATTTAGTAACTTACTACCTATTCCATACACTTGCAACTTCTGCCACATTGTTCCCCTATCCACTCCATCATATGCCTTTTCTAAATCAATAAATGCAATGGAAATTTCGCAACCTTTACCTAAATACTGTTCACATATATGCTTCAATGTAAACACTTGATCTACACATCTGCTACCCACTCTAAAGTCTCCTTGCTCATCTGCAATCTTACTCTCTGTCTTACCTTTAATTCTCTCAATAATAACCCTACCATACACTTTTCCTGGTATACTTAGTAAACTTATTCCCCTGTAATATTTACAATCTCTTTTGTGCCCCTTCCCTTTATATAAAGGAACTATACATGCTCTCTGCCAATCCCTAGGTACCTTCCACTCTTTCATACATTAAAGAAAAATGCCAACCACTCCAACACTGTATCACCCCCTGCTTTTAACATCTCTGTCATGATCCTGTCAGTTCCAGCTGCTTTACCCCTTTTCATTCTACGTAATGCCTCGCGCACCTCCCCCACACTCACAACTCACTCCTCCTCACTCCTACAAGATGTTATTCCTCCTTGCCCTACACATGAAATCACAGCTTCCCTTTCTTCATCAACATTTAACAATGCTCAAAATATTCCCTTTAATAACTCTCCTCTTCTACTTTTAACTATCAAATCCATTCGTTCCCTAGGCTTCCTCAACCTATTAATCTCACTCCAAAACTTTCTCTTATTCTCAACAAAATTTGTTGATAGAATCTCACCCACTCTCTCATTTGCTCTCCTTTTACATTCTTTCACCACTCTCTTAACTTCTCCTCTCCATATGCTCCTCCCTCTTTGCATTACTTCTACTTAGTAAAAACTTCTCATATGCTAACTTTTTCTCTCTCTTACTACTATTTTTACATCATTCCACCAATCGCTCCTCTTCCCTCCCACACCCACTTTCCTGTAACCACAAACTTCTGCTGAGCACTCTAACATTACATTCTTAAACCTACCCCATACATTTTCAACCCCACTGCCTAGACTCTCACTAGCCCATCTATCCTCCAACAGCTGTTTATATCTTACCCTAACTGCCTCCTCCTTAAGCTTATAAACCTTCACCTCTCTCTTACCCGTTTTAAATATTAAGAATGAAGTACATAGACGTTCTGCACTGCAGTGGTTATACAGAAATTATATGCACCCCAAAAGCCCTGGCACACCTCACACATGTGATAGAACGTAACTATAAAGCTAATTAGAGCATTTGCCATGAAAAATATAAACTACAGATACTAGATTTTCAATGGTAATAAATTATGTATCATTTATTAACATCCTCTTACTCTTTCATGGATATCTTAATTTTTCAAAAATAATATGATTTTTGGGGCCTGATGAGCTGTTGGAGCAGGGCCGTAGAGTCAGAAGCAATTCTTGGGTTACTGGAGTCGGAGTCGTTAAAATGTAATTAAAGGAGTTACAAGTGCCATAAATAAAGGAGTTGGAGTCGAAGGTTTTATGTGCCGATGCCACAGCCCTGTGTTGGAGTGTGAGCAGTGCAACATTCTGTGAAGGGATTCAGGGAAAACAGTTAACTGGAGGTGAGAAGCACAGTGTCTACACTCCAACGGAGGGATTTGAGATATTTGCTGTTTAGAGTGACTTCTCAACTGTCATATCTGTGTGAGTCTGTTAAGACAGTGATAGTATGAATGATGGTGAGTGTCTTTTGTTTCAAGTCATCCTGCATTGGCGGGAGACGGCTAGTGTGTTAAAAAAATACGATTTATTTCTGAATGATACACTTTTAACACAAGTAAGCTATGAAAAGTAAAATTATAAGCACATAAGTGCACAAGGTTGAATCTATTGGAAAGATAATGTTACAAATACCGAACCCCAAGACTATCAGTATTAACTAGTTAAATGTTTTGAATGAAGTCCATCTTGCACACACACATTATATTGCAACCAGTTTGTAAAGATGAAAAACAAAGGGAAGGAAAAACCTTAAAATACCAATTTACAGAGATATGGGCCTAACCAAACAGGTGAATACAGAAAAAAAATTACCTGAAAGGCCTTAAGCCACTCCTGTTGATTGATGTAAGAGACTGTCAATGCACTCTGTTGCTTGAAGTATTTTAGGTCAATCTCATCAATCAAACCAATAAAATAGAGGAAGTCTCCATAATCCACCATAGAAATTGGATCACATAAACCATCTCCTATTGCAAATCCTGTGTGACAAGATATAAATACTTTTATATTAAAACAATAAAGCTTTGTTAACCACCATTTTCTACACATCCAGCATAAAATATAAACATTAATGAGATTTAAGATCAGTGGATAATGTTTACTGAGCACTCTTATTTAAGGATCTCTTACTGTTCGATGGAGTTACTTAGCATTACCACCATCAAGAAACTTGCCTTGAGGGGACACTCCTCCCTCCCTCCCTCCTCCAAATATGGAGCTTGCTTCCAATGACTTTGCTTAAATTCTGTAAAACACTTACACTGAAGACATGTTACCTAATATCCATCTGACTTATCTTAGTAATTTCAAACCATGCTGCCTTTATTTGTTGTTTTGTTTTTCTCTGACACAGCACTTAACTGGTAATCTTGCAGATACTGGAGTCCCAAGTTAGCACTGCATATACCAGTACACTAGCTGGTCTTACCTTTCTGCACATCATTTTGCATGCCTCTTTGTTCAAATTTCTCAAGGATATTCTTATATTTGTCTGCCTAGTGCAAGAACTTTTTTTTTTAGTGTGATGGTTACCCTTAGATAATTCCTTTTTTCTTTTATCTCAGGATTCATTTTTAATAGCCACATATTAAACCATTTTCCCCTAGCATGTTGCAGTTTCCCTACATCCTTATTCTCTTCAGTAGTTTTGCAATATCTCCAAACACTAACTTGGAGTCTAATTTCCTTATGTAGACTAACAGAATGAGCTAAAAAACTGAATTGTGCGACTCTACTTGTTACTTCACTCCATCATGACACCATCTTCCTCACTGTAATACCACTCTCGGTTAAATATTCTCTTACCCATTACTCGGTCACTCCAGTAAATATTTATACAAGAAAAAATATTTAGTAAGTGAAAAACATTTTCCTGAAATAATAGAACAGTTACTTTGTCACATACCTTTCAGGTTTATCTTCAATTCTGCTGCAGGATTCAACTTGTGGATGGTGTATGCCAAGGCTGGAACATACTTCCCTGAAAAGATAAAACTGCAAATTAGCTATAACATTTGAAATCTATTTTAAATTGTACCTTTACAGAAAATACTGTACTTTCTACAGACTTTTTTCCATTTTCTTCATACTTATAGCTGTGTTTTTACATTGTTCTTTTTGTCCTACTTTTCCCACTCATATTGAATGAGAAAAATCATAAATTTATTCAAATGTGCCTAATTGCAGACAATGGCAAGTTCCTGACAGGTGGTAAAAAGACAACTGCAGTGAAATCTTTTCCTTGTATGTTTCATCTAACGTGTGAGCTTTTTCAAGTGTAGCACAGGAGTGCCCCGCTTTAAGGCGATTCGCTAATACAGACATTTCAGGGTACGTATCCCCAAAAATTCATTTATATGGCTCCTGATTCACTATGTGTCTGTGCGCCACCTGTCCACCCTCAGTTTGTTTATATTCTCTGTGAGCTTTGCATTTCTCTTGATTGTGTCTTGAAACTTTCCAAAGTCTCAGGTGTTTTAAAGTTATTGCATATTTTATACACATTCTTTTTTTGTTACAATCACATCTAAGAGTAGTTGTGATAAAAAGAGGAGTCATAAGGTTCTTGCTTAAAGGGCAAAGCTAGAAATGATTAAACTCAGTGATCAAGGTTATGACTATGGCTGAGACAGTACTACTGATAATTGTACTTTTGTGTACCTGTACCTAAATAACCCTTATAGGTTTAGAGCTTAGTTATGATTATAATAATAGCAATAATAATTTACCTAAATAAACTTACTGTGCTGGTGTGCAGGTACTTTTCAATCACCATTTGGCATCGCTACAAAGTAGTAGCAGCTTTGCCAGGCAAGTAAGTAGCTAAGTGTGTCTCACTAGTATTGAAGATGCAATTATAATAATAATAATAATATTAATAATAATTGCTCTGGGGTACTTTAAATGTCATATAATACATTATATCGATCTGACCGCATCTATTACATGTCCATCCAAAATGCTGTTTACAGAATTTGTGCACTCTGAGTCTCTCTGAATTCTGGCAATTTTTTATTCATATTACTTTCATACCGTTTTTTAGACCTAGCTCTATTGCACACTTAATATATGCTTAAGATAAATTTGAAGCTAGCAGAGGCTGGTTGCAAAGGTTTAGGGAAAGGAAGCCAATTATATAACATCAAAGTGCAGGGTGAAGCAGCAATTGCCAACACTGTAGCTGCAGAAAATTATCCATATGAGCCAGCTGGGATAATCCAATATGGTGGATATACCAAATAACAGATTTTTTTTGTGGATGAAACTGCATTATTTTGGAAGAAGGTACTCTCTAAGACATTTGTGTTAAAGAACAGAAGTCAGTGCCTGGCTTCAAAGCTACAAAAGACAAACAAACTTTATATCTTCGTGATATAAAATATGTAGTTTTACATGTAATAAAATATTGTTAAGCACAAGCAATTAAGACAGGCTAGCACTCTTGCTAGGAGCTAATACTCACCAATCACTATAAGCTAAATACAGATATATTTTAAGGTAAGTAATGAGTGTACTGTATATGCATTATACCTTTTTTATTGTTTTTTAGGCCTAATTGTATTGTTCACATAATACACGCTAGTGTAAACATTTTTTTTTTTGACACGCCTGCCGTCTCCCACCAAAGCAAGGTGACCCACAAAAGAAAGAACACTCTCACCATCATTCACATAAAGTGAAACATGTTATCAAAAATTTATATGCATTTCAAAGTGAAAATAAGGCGAGTCACTTTATAGCGATTTTTGCTTTATGGCAGTAGCCTGGAACCTAACTCACCATATAATCAGGATCCTCCTATATAGTGAACTCCGGATTTCGTACACACTGAATATCGTACGTTTCAGATTTAGGCCACTTTTTGGGCGAAATTTTGGTCCGGATTTCGTACCTCCATCCGGAAATCGTACGTATCAGACGCGTCCCCCTGAGCTGCTCATATGTTCATGACTCGCTCTTGGGCACATTAAATGTCTTATTTTATGTTGATATAAACATTTTCATTAATCCATCTAAGATATTTTCTTCAAAATTATATAAGAAACACGTTACATAGCACACAAACATGTAATGTTTATATGCCATTGAGGGATGGGGTCGATGGAGAGTAAACATTACATTTTCTCTGGTCCAGTGTTAGAGAAAACTGTCTGGCCCAGTCACCGCCCTTAATACACTTTACATAACACTTTTGTTTACAATTCTCGGCGTGAATTAGTCGTTATTTCTCCCTTTGTTTATGATGGCATCTAAAGGTAGTTGGTAGAAATTATTAAATTCAGTGAAAATGGTATGTCGATCGTAATAATATGGCTGTGGGTTGCAGTGTATGTAGCCTGTAGGTATAGCCCAGGCGGATGTAGCCCGCCTGGGACTACAAATAAATACCACTCGCCTCTCGCCCTACATTAAGACTACAAATATTTTAAGGTAAGTAATGAATGTACTGCGTATGTATTTTACTTTTTTATTGTTTTAATGCCTAGTTCTATTACTAACTTCATGTAAGTTAGTGTAAACTTGACACCCCTACTCCCGTTGTGGAATCTATTGTGGCTTTGGGGAAGTCCATGGGGTTGTATGTGAGTGGCCAGGATGTGGAAGAGTTGGTGGACAACCACAGGGAAGAGCTAACCACTGAAGAGCTGCAACACTATAGTTATTCTCTATAAAATTTATTTTTTATTAATATTTTTGGGTGTCTGAAACAAATTAATTGGATTTACATTATTTATGGGAAATATTGCTTTGGCTTCTGTCCGTTTCGGATTTAGACCGACCTTCTGGAATGGATTAAGTACAAAATCCGGAGTTCCACTGTATGTACGTACTTGAAAAAGCAACAGTCAAGCCTGGCCCAGTGCCAGGCTGTGGGAGTAGAAAAGCTCTCAAACCCTTCAACAGTATTGGGTGAAACATTATACTGTACAAATAAAGAACTTCATTGCCACTGTCTCTTTTACTGTGCATAATTATCTATTTGTGACTACAGGAATAGAACTAAACTTGTGACAGCAAGTTTGGTATAGGTCAGCAAATTCCTTGTCACACACATTCCCAGTACCCACAATGGAACACACTGCACGTTTGAATAGGGAGCTTTACATTATAAAATCAAGATGCTTAACCCTTTCAGGGTCTGTCCCGTAGATCTACGGCTTTACAGTGAGTGTCCAAATCGTAGATCTACACCATGAGCTCAGCTCACTCTGATAAACTGTGAGTGGTACATTTGGGCCTAGATATGAGAGAATACATCTATGTGGTATGTGTGCACACAAAAACAGATCCTGCAGCACACTGTGTATAATGAGAGAAAAAAACTGAAATCATGATTTTTCGATTAAAACAGCGACTTTGCAGTGTTTTATCGTATGTTTTTTATAGTTGTATTTGCGATTTCTCGGTCTCATTTGATAGAATGGAAGACATATTACAGAAATAGAGATGATTTTGATTGGTTTTAGCACTGGAAATGGCTTGAAACTGAGCTCAAAGTAGCGGAAATGTTAAATTTTTGCCGATATTCAAGAGTAAACAAACGACCTCACACATCTAATACACGTCAGCTGATGGGTCTAATATACATTCACAAATATGGTGATGATATTTATACAATTATTACAGTATTGCATAACAGTAAATCTTCTATTTTTTGGTGTGAATAAAAATTCATTATGTGAATAAAAAATCAAAATGGAATTTATTTGTAAAGCCTCAAAATGTAACTAATGAACAGAGGAAATGTTAGTTTAGTTCCAGGAATACCTACATTGTTTATTCTGGAGCCTATTTTGAAATTGGAATATTTTGAACTTTGTGTTAAATTGGCCAAATTAACAATTTCCGATCACTTTATTTTGTAGTTGAAACAGTTGATTTGGCGATTTCTTGTGCTCAATCGATAGAATAGAAGTAATACTAGTGAAATAGCTAAGAATTTGGTTGATTGGAATAATGTAATTGGCCTAAAATGGGAGTCAAAGTCGGCAAAATCGCCGACTCATAAATATCGCTGACACATCAAAATTCGCGAGAGCATAATTTCGTCAATTTTCCACCAAATTTCGTACTTTTTGGTTTATTACCTTCACAAAAAGATTCTCTACGATTTCATAAGAAAAAATAACTAATTTTTTTTTTTAAAATTCTTGGACACTGGTGCGTGACTTCAGATTTTGGCCTTGGACCCTGAAAGGGTTAAGATGAACCTTTTATGGTAAACATTTTGCTGAAACATTCATGAAATCCTATCTTTCTTTCTTTCTTTCAACATACCGGCCGTATCCCACCGAGGCAGGGTGGCCCAAAAGGAAAAACAAAACTTTTTCCTTTTACATTTAGTAATATATACTGGAGAAGAGGTTACTAGCCCCTTGCTCCCGGCATTTTAGTCGCCTCTTACAACATGCATGGCTTACGGAGGAAGAATTCTGTTCCACTTCCCCATGGAGGTAAGAGGAAATAAACAAGAACAAGAAAGAAAATAGAAGAAAACCCAGATGGGTGTGTATATATGTTTGTACATGTATGTGTACTGTGACCTAAGTGTAAGTAGAAGTAGCAAGACATATCTGAAATCTTGCATGTTTATGAGACAGAAAAAAGGACACCAGCAATCTTACCATCATGTAAAACAATTACAGGCTTCCGTTTTACACTCACTTGGCAGGATGGCAGTACCTCCCTGGGCGGTTGCTGTCTACCAACCTACTACCTAGAAAATCCTATCATTCTTTCATTTCTAAAATTTAAGTCACTACGAAAACAAATTCTCAATATTTCTTCCAGAAACACAGTAGTGCAAGATAAATAAATACAAGACTGAACCTAATAATATGAACTTTCCCATCTTCAATCCTTCCTTGAACTTCACCTGCAAACTCATTTGTGGAATACTGTACTGACTGCCTTAACATCTTTATTGCCTAGCCTACCTATTTTCTTTGTAAAAAGTTTTTTTTTTTTTTTAACAAGTCGGCCATCTCCCACCGAGGCTGGGTGACCCAAAAAGAAAGAAAATCCCCAAAAAGAAAATACTTTCATCATCATTCAACACTTTCACCTCACTCACACATAATCACTGTTTTTTCAGAGGTTCCCAGAATACAACAGTTTAGAAGTACATACGTATAAAAATACACAATATATCCCTCCAAACTCAAACCCCTCCTTTAGAGTGCAGGCACTGTACTTCCCATTTCCAGGACTCAAGTCCGGTTATATAAAATAACCGGTTTCCCTGCTCACACTCCAACAGCTCGTCAGGTCCCAAATACCATTTGTCTCCATTCACTCCTATCTAACACACTCACGCACGCTTGCTGGAAGTCCAAACCCCTCGCCCACAACACCTCCTTTACCCCCTCCCTCCAACCTTTTTGAGGACGACCCCTACCCCGCCTTCCTTCCCCAACAGATTTATACACTCTCCATGTCATTCTACTTTGATCCATTCTAAATGACCAAACCACTTCTGACTAATACTTTTATTAACTCCACACTTTCTCCTAATTTCCACACTCCGAATTTTCTGCATAATATTTACACCACACATTGCCCTTAGACAGGACATCTCCACTGCCTCCAACTGCCTCCTAGCTGCAGCATTTACAACCCAAGCTTCACACCCATATAAGAGTGTTGGTACCACTATACTTTCATACATTCCCTTCTTTGCCTCTATAGATAACATTTTTTGCCTCCACATATACCTCAATGCACCACTCACCTTTTTTCCTTCATCAATTCTATGATTAACCTCATCCTTCATAAATCCATCCACTGACACGTCAACTCCCAGATATCTGAAAACATTCACTTCTTCCAAACTCCTCCTCCCCAATTTGATATCCAATTTTTCTTTATCTAAATCATTTGATACTCTCATCACCTTACTCTTTTCTATGTTCGCTTTCAACTTTCTACCTTTACACACACTCCCAAATTCGTCTACTAACCTTTGCAATTTTTCTTTAGAATCCTCCATAAACACAGTATCATCAGCAAAAAGTAACTGTGTCACTTCCCATTTTGCATTTAATTCCCCATAATTTAATCCCACCCCTCTCCCGAACACCCTAGCATTTACTTCTTTTACAACCCCATCTATAAATATATTAAACAACCAAGGAGACATTACACATCCCTGTCTAAGACCTACTTTTACTGGGAAATAGTCTCCCTCTCTTCTACACACCCTAACCTGAGCCTCACTATCCTCATAAAAACTCTTTACAGCATTTAGTAACTTACCACCCATTCCATATACTTGCAACATCTGCCACATTGCTTCCCTATCCACTATCATATGCCTTTTCTAAATCCATAAATGCAATAAAAACTTCCCTACCTTTATCTAAATACTGCTCACATATATGCTTCAATGCGAACACTTGATCTACACATCCCCTACCCACTCTAAAACCTCCTTGCTCATCCGCAATTCTACATTCTGTCTTACCTCTAATTCTTTCAATAATAACCCTATCGTACACTTTTCCTGGTATACTCAGTAAACTTATTCCTCTATAATTTTTACAGTCTTTTTTGTCCCCCTTCTCCTTTATATGAAGGGACTATACACGCTCTCTGCCAATCCGTAGGTACCTCCCCCTCTTTCATACATTTATTAAACAAAAATACCAATCATTCCAACACTAATGTCCCCCCCTGCTTTTAACATTTCTGTCATGATCCCGTCAGTTCTAGCTGCTTTACCCCCTTTCATTCTACGTAACGCCTCACGCACCTCCCCACACTCACATCCTGCTCATCTTCACTCCTAAAAGATGGTATACCTCCCTGGCCAGTGCATGAAATTACCGCCTCCCTTTTTTCGTCGACATTTAAAAATTCCTCAAAATATTCTCGCCATCTACCCAAAACCTCCATCTCCCCATCTACTAACTCCCCTACTCTGTTTTTAACTGACAAATCCATTTGTTCCCTAGGCTTTCTTAACTTGTTTAACTCGCTTCAAATTTTTTTCTTATTTTCATTAAAATTTCTTGACAGTACCTCTCCCACTCTATCATCCACTCTCCTTTTGCACTCTCTCACCACACTCTTCACTTTTCTTTTACTCTCCATATACTCTGCTCTTCTTATAACACTTCTGCTTTGTAAATACCTCTCATAAGCTACCTTTTTCTCTTTTATCACACCCTTTACTTCATCATTCCACCAATCATTCCTCTTCCCTCCTGCACCCACCCTCCTATAACCACAAACTTCTGCCCCACATTCTAATACTGCATTTTTAAAACTATTCCAACCCTCTTCAACCCCCCCACTACTCATACCTGAACCAGCCCACCTTTCTGCCAATAGTTGCTTATATTTCACCCAAACTTCCTCCTCCCTTAGTTTATACACATTCACCTCCCTCTTACTTGTTGTTGCCATTTTCCTCTAATCCCATCTACCTCTTACTCTAACTGTAACTACAACTAGATAATTATCCGATACATCAGTTGCCCCTCTGTAAACGTGTACATCCTGGAGCCTACCCATCAACCTTTTATCCACCAATACATAATCTAACAAACTACTTTCATTACATGCTACATCATACCTTGTATATTTATTTATCCTCTTTTTCATAAAATATGTATTACTTATTACCAAACCTCTTTCAACACATAGCTCAATTAAAGGCTCCCCATTTTCATTTACCCCTGGCACCCCAAATTTACCTACTATTCCCTCCCCAACATTTTTACCCACTTTAGCATTAAAATCCCCAACTACAAGTACTCTCACACTTGGTTCAAAACTCCCCACACACTCACTCAACATTTCCCAAAATCTCTCTCTCTCCTCTATACTTCTCTCTTCCCCAGGTGCATATATGCTTACTATAACCCACTTCTCACATCCAACCTTTATTTTACTCCATATAATCCTTGAATTAATACATTTGTAGTCCCTCTTTTCCTGCCATAACTTATCCTTCAACATTATTGCTACTCCTTCTTTAGCTCTAACTCTATTAAAAACCCCTGACCTAATCCCATTTATTCCTCTCCACTGAAACTCACCCACCCCCTTCAGCTTTGTTTCACTTAAAGCCAGGACATCCAGCTTCTTCTCATTCATAACATCCACAATCATCTCTTTTCTTATCATTCGCACAACATCCATGCACATTCAGACTTCCCACTTTGACAATTTTCTTCTTATTATTCTTTTTAGTAATTATTACAGGAAAAGGGGTTACTAGCCCATTGTTCCCAGCATTTTAGTTGACTTTTACAACACGCATGGCTTACGGAGGAAAGATTCTTATTCCACTTCCCCATGGATATAAAAGGAAAAGTAATTAGAACAAGAACTAAGATAAAATCAAAGAAAACTCAGATGAATGTGTATAAATAAACGTGTAGTGTGACCTAAGTGTAAGTAGAAATAGCAAGACGTACCTGTAATCTTGCATATTTATGAGACAGACAAAAGACACCAGCAATCTTACCATCATGTAAAACAATTACAGGCTTTCGTTTTAAACTCACCTGGCAGAATGGTAGTACCTCCCTGGGTGGTTGCTGTCTACCAACCTACTACCTAAATATGGTACACAAATATAATGAGGCTATTTAGTTTGTTAGTAATTTATGAGAAACATTATACAGTAAAATATTCATTTGCAGTTGCTATTCAGTCATGTTAAATTATTAATATTTGATGAATAATCAGCATACCAAACAAACAATAAAAATGCTTTCAAATGAACTAATGTATTGTAACAGATCTTAGCTTGTCAATAAAGTTAGGAATCCTTAACCTGTAAATAGCTTGTCAGTAAAGCTAGGGATCCTTAACCTTGTGAAACCCTGTGTAAAAAAAAAAAAAAAAAAAAAATGAATCTCTATCATTAAGTTGAGATGATGAATACCTTACCTGCATAAGATTCTCCAGTGACAAAAAAATCATTGTGCTGCAGCTCAGGAAACATTGTGAAGAACTGCACCATGGCAACATAAAGGTCTCTGCCAACATCTGTCTCATTTCTAGCATAACCAGTATCATTTCTTGTGAAGCTGAACCCTGGTAAGCAAAGTCCACATTCAGTGTCAAATACTGTAACATACATTTGTTAATTTATAGCCAGAAAATGTAAAAATGTATGTAAAAGTCATCTTAAAAGCTACAAAATATACAAGTCTTTCTTATATTATGATGTTTGCTCTACATCTACAGGACTGTTTTAAAATTATTGCCAGAAAGTTCCAGCAAGGTTCCTGGGAATAAATAACATAACTTCATATCTTTTTACTGTAGGTTGTGTGTCAGAAAAGGTGACTAAAATGCCGGGAACAAGGGGCTAGTAACCCCTTCTCCCATATAAATTACTAAATTCAAGAGAAACTTTCGTTTTTCTCTTTGGGCCACCCTGCCTTGGTGGGATACGGCCGGTGTGTTGAAAGATATAAAAAAAAATTCTTCTTTTTTGGGTCAGCCTTCGTTGATGGGACACAGCCAGTGTGTCAGGTATCAGTATGTCACCATTAAAGACACAGCCTCATCAACACGGCCACTTGATACTGGAGTTCCGCAGGGAAGTGTCCTTGGTCCCCTGCTCTTCCTCATTTACATTAATGATCTTCCAAACGTATCCCAACACCTGAAACCCATTCTCTTTGCTGACGACACAACTTACGTCATCTCCCACCCTAATCTTGCCACCCTCAACACCATTGTCAACGAGGAGCTGCTCAAAATTCTGACTTGGATGACAGCCAATAAACTTACACTTAACACTGACAAAACCTACTACATTATGTTTGGTAGCAGAGCAGGTGTTGCGCAACTTAACATTAAGATCGACAACACTCTAATTGCCAGACATAATGAGGGCAAATTCCTAGGTCTATACCTCGACAACAACCTAAATTTCAGCACCCATATCCAACACATAACAAAAAAAAGTATCCAAAACGGTGGGGATCCTCTCCAAGATACGATATGACGTGCCGCAAACTGCCCTTCTCACACTATACCATTCACTCATTCACCATACCTCACCTATGCTATTTGTGCTTGGGGATCAACTGCAGTAACACATCTAAAGCCAATAATAACCCAACAAAAAGATGCAGTGAGAAAAATCACTAAATCCCATCCCTGGCAACACCCCCCTCCTCTTCATAGATCTAAACTTACTCCCTGTTCAGAACATCCACACTTACTACTGTGCAATCTACATCTACAGGACCTTAAATTACAATATTAACCTTGACCTAAAATGCTTTCTTGATAGTTGTGACAGGGCCCACAGGCATAACACCAGACACAAACATCTCTATGACATTCCTCGTGTCCGACTAAACCTTTACAAAAATTCAATGTGTGTCAAAGGGCCTAAAATCTGGAACACCCTACCTGAAAACTCTAGAACTGCAGACACATTCATCACTTTCAAAACTACAGTTAGAAAACATCTTATCTCCCTGATACACCCCGTCAACTAACTACATGTAAACCACCTGGTGGTTCACACTTACATTCACTCACCCATTGACTATAAACACAGAAATACGAATCTTAATCTTAAAATAATGAACCCTAACTAGTCATAAGCTTGCCTATGATACTCCAATATAGACACTATATATTGTGCCAAAACAAAAGCATTCACATTGCTAAACTTGCAAACTATAATGTAGTCACTTAGCCTTAATACCATAATCTGTAATAATTTAAAGTTTAGAATTAATCTAAGTCTGCCCAAAATGCCTAGCCATGCTAGGTGCCCTAGTGGCCCCCTCTGTAATTAGTATTTTAAAACATGTAAACCACACAATATCCAAAATCTGCAAACCCCGCATTGTAATCCTTATAGAGAATAAACTTGATTGATTGATTAAAAAAAATATATAGTGTCTTATATGTGCCTCATGTACAGCTCAGTCTGCAAAAATTCAGAGCAAATAGTTTACCTAAAAGTATGCCAAACAATTCACAAGACTTCTAAATGAAACAAAGTTAGTAAAGAATTAGTTCTTTATGTTCCTTTACTGTAATTCTCTCCTACTAAGACTTGTCTGATGTATCATTAACCTGATTAAGCATCTTCCTATCTTTCTCGTATTTTCCTGGTTGTCAGTGTCCTATTCAACATTTTAAACTAGCCTTGTGGTACAGGTCCGCCATCACAAATCCAGCATTATTGAGACCTGTAGTGTGCTGGATTACAGAGTGGTTAGGTTAGAATACACTTAATAAAATTAACCAACTTGAATTACACAAGAAAGTTCATTGAACACAGGCAAAAATCGAACATTTCTGCTACTTTAAGCTCAATTTCAAGGTACCTTTCGTTATGAACCAAATCAAAATCCTATCTATTTCTGTAATATATCTTCCATTCTAACAAATGAGACCAAAAAAACGAGAATACAACCATAAAAACCATATGAAAATATACTGCAAAGAGGCGGCTAATGACTGAGAAGTGAACTCCCTTGTTTATCGTCTGATTTTCTTACTCTTAATTCTTTCAGTAATAACTCTACCATACACTTTACCAGGCATATTCAACAGGGTTATTCCTCTAAAATTTTTACACTCTCTTTTGTCCCCTTTGCCTTTATACAGAGAAACTATGCATGCTCTCTGCCAATCCCTAGTTACCTTACCCTCTTCCATACTGTTATTAAATAAAAGCACCAACCACTCCAACACTATATCCCCACCTGGTTTTAATATTTCTGTCTTTATCCCATTAATACCTGCTACTTCACCCCCTTTCATCCTACCCACTGCCTCACACACCTCCCCTACACTCACAACTAGGTCTTCCTCACTCCTATAAAATGTTATACCTCTCTGCCCATTGCATGAAATCACAGCTTCCCTATTTTCATCAACATTTAACGGTTCCTCAAAATATTCCCCCCATCTTCTCGATACCTCTAACTCTCCATTTGATAACTCTCCTCTCCTATTACAAACTGTCAAAGCCATTTGTTCCCTAGGCTTTCTCAACTTATTAATCTCACTCCAAAACTTTCTCTTATTCTCAACAAAATTTGTTGATAGAATCTCACCCATTCTCTCATTTGCTCTCTTTTTACATTCTTTCACCACTCTCTTAACCTCTCTTTTTCTCTCCATATACTCCTCCCTCCTTGTATCACTTCTACTTTGTAAGAACCTCTCAAATGCTAACTTTTTCTCTCTTACTACTCTCTTTGCCTCATCATTCCACCAATCGCTCTCCCTTCCCACACCCACTTTCCAGTAACCACAAACTTTTGCTGAAAACTATAACACTACATTCTTAAATGTACCCCATACTTCTTCTGCCTCATTACCTATACTCCCACTAGCCCATCTTTCTTTCAATAGTTGTTTATATCTTACTCTAACTGCCTCCTTTAGTTTATAAACCTTCACCTCTGTTACTTGCTGATTATATTCTCCTTGTATCCCATATACCTTTTCCATAATATTTTCACCTTTGATAGAGGTAGTGAAATTATGAGATTTACAAATACAAATGCTATACACACAGGTCAACCCTTTGACTGGGAAGGTTAGATTCCTGAAGATGCCATTAATCCTAAAACAGTGGATAATAGGGAATTTTGAATGTCCAAATTATTCAAGGATTTTTGGCCCTATCTTTTTTAAATTATGCTCTAATCTGCTTGATATTGACATTCATGATAAAGATGTGCACATTCTGAAGGAAATCCTCTAGTTAGTTTTCAATTTAGGGGTCATACACCAAGTAAAAAGACAAGGGGCACCAAGAAAATGTGAATAATTGAAGCTCTCTAGCCTCTAATAAAACACTTTGTACAGTATGATAGTATCACATAGATTATTTAGCGTATTATTGTTTTTGCACATTTACCAATGTCAAGTTCAATCTTTAATTTTGTTATAGGTGTAGATAATACCTGTCAGTCAAACATTACTAAAATAGCCTTATATGTGGAACAACTAATTTCCATGTCAATCCAAGGTTTTTACCTAACAAAGTAGTAACAATTCAGTTTCCAAATGTACTCTCAGTTAGAATATACTCTTCTCACCTGTGCCTACTGGACTATCAATGTATATAATATTATGATTTCTGTTCCAGGAGAAGTTGCGAGGAACAATATGCTGAGAGGCATCAATACTGAAAGGTCCATGCTCAGCAAACAAGCCAAAGAGAGAGGAACCACCAGGTCCTCCCTGAAGCCACACTAAAACTGGGGCATCAGCTGATCCTGTCTGGGAAACAAACACAGAATTGCATATTTGTTATTTATAAAATTCTAGTGATAACTGGAAGAAAACCTTAATTTACTGAAAGCATGTCAGAATAAAATATAATTTAGTTAAAAATCCTAAACAAACATACAGTATATAAAAAATAAGAATGCTACAAACTAACTTCAAAGAATAACAAGCAATACATCATGGAATTTAAAACTTGAAGACTGCTACAGAAACAAGTCATGAAGGAGGTCATGAATAGGGTTGCAAACTCCTTATATCATCTTGTAATTCCACTATCAATTTTTCTCTCCTGATATACAAACTATTATTTGTCTCTCACTCCACTACCATTCACATTACATATACGTAATCCATCTCTGCCATCCTGCTCTTCCATACACTTTCTATATGACTTGCTCCATACCACTAATACCACATGCATGTCTTAATCCATTTGAGCACTATGAATTTTAGATTTAGCTCACTTCCTGTCCATGTTTCATTACTACAGAAGAGTTTGAGGGAGTATACAGTACTGAAACTATTTTTCCTTATATTCATAGCAATATTTCTACCTTTACAGCAACCGCCCAGGGAGGTACTACCGTCCCGCCAAGTGAGTGTAAAACGAAAGCCTGTAATTGTTTTACATGATGGTAGGATTGTTGGTGTCCTTTTTTCTGTCTCATAAACATGCAAGATTTCAGGTACGTCTTGCAAGTTCTACTTACACTTAGGTCACACTACACCTGACCAGCCGGGCTGTGGTTCGTAGGTTGGAAAGCATGTAGCCAGCAGTAACAGCGTGGTTGATCAGGCCCTGATCCACCATGAGGCCTGGTCACAGACTGGGCTGCGGGGGCATTGACCCCCAGAACTCTCTCCATGTAAACATACATGTACAAGCATATATCTACACACCCCTCTGAGTTTTCTTCTATTTTCTTTCTAGTTCTTGTTCTTGTTTACTTCCTCTTATCTCCATGGGGAAGTGGAACAGAATTCTTCCTCCGTAAGCCATGCGTGATGTAAGAGGCGACTAAAATGCCGGGAGCAAGGGGCTAGTAACCCCTTCTCCTGTATAAATTACTAAATTTAAAAAGAGAAACTTTCGTTTTTCTTTTTGGGTTACCCTGCCTTGGTGAGATACAGCTGGTTTGTTGAAAAAAAAAAATTCTACCTTTTATAATCATCCCTTGGGATACAAAGACTTGCACTGCTCTCCTATATTTTTCCCCAATGGTTCTCTTCGTACAATACAGCTCCCAAATATTTAATTTACTAACCTGTTTAAATACCTCACTGCCAATTTCAATTTGACATTCCATCTGTGTCTTTATTCTGTAAGTTCAGAGGTCCGCTCTACATGAATATAAACAACACTGTTATCTTTTACCTGTTAAGAGGTTCTGGGTAGGATCTTCCCCATGGCCCACTCTCAGACCAGGTTTTCTCAGTTGAATCTGATGATTTTAACAGAGACAAGGACTAGGAGAGACATGATTATTACACTGCATAATAAGTGGCTCTCTTTTGTGCTTACCAATGTTTTATTATATGTACAAAATTAAAAATTAAGACACATTAAGTACAGGTACTATATTGCATACATTACTGATGGGATGAAGAGGTTTCAAAAACCAGTAGCTTTATCAATTCAATACTGATTACCTCGTCTTCTACTATCTCAAGTTTTAACATCTGCAAGTAACTTCTGTATTGTATTGATGAAGCTACTAGTTGGCAAACCCTCTTTAAAATAATGGTGCCCAGATGTTGCTCAGAATAATTCTCAGTTTGGTGTGCTACCTTCTGCTTTATTTAATTCATTCCCAAGGTGCTTAATTATGATTCTATATAGCATACAGTTTTGATTTAACATTGTGTTATTTCAATAAATAATTATTATTATTATTATTTTCCAATAAGATACATTTCATGTAAATATTTGGTACATGGAAAATCCCCATATTTATGTAAAGCATTTCCAGCATGTAAGCATTTCCACTTAAATACATGCTACACAGAAATTGAGTACACAAAATAAAGTAATGGGGCATGAGATATCTTATAGCTATTCTTTGTCAAGATACTTACTAAAAAGTAAATCACGTGTACACTTACCATTGCTGAGAAGAACCAAAAGAAGAGGTTAGAGTTGTACTGTTTGTTGACTGTAAAAAAGCCTGAGAAGCTATGACTAAGGCGGTGTCCAAGCTTTACATAACTCAGGGTTCTTGCCTCCTAGAAATAATTTTAAATTGAAAAAATTAAACAATAAAAATTTAAATCACTTTAAAAGGGCAATTAATCTTGTGCATATCATTTAAAAATATCATAAAGGTCATTTTTTTCATTGCTACATATCATACAACACTTTCAATTCACATACGTAAATGTATAAGACAGCTTTAAGCTACTCAGTACCTTAATTTTTCCTGCTTCCAGAAGTGGTGTTAAAAAGAGAGGGTCTCCAACATCATCCCACAAAGATGGAGGAATATTCAAATTTCCATGATTAGAAAACATCTTACGAAATGGTCCACTGGCCTCCACAGAGGCAACAGCCACTAGAACCACTACTACCCACAGGCACGTCATGATTAATTATATTTCACTTTAATGTCTGCTTCGAAGTTTCAACCTGAAATTTTTTCAGTTCTGAAAAGAAAAAAATCTATTAGTATACCAAATGTCATTTAAAAAATGCAATACATTACTAAGGAAGGATGAAATACACGAAGATAAACGATAAAGATTTGTTTCTTTGTCAAGGTTACAATGTGTATTTACAGTTTTATACAAAAAAATGTAATAAACACTGGTACAAGTATACCTACAACAAAAGAAAATTAAATAAAGGGCAAGAGATTACTACACTCTATAATTTCAATCTACAAGCGAGACTCTTCAGCATTATTATTATTATTATTATAATCAAAAAGAAGCGCTAAACCACAAGGGCTATACAGCGCTGCTCTTCAGCATTAATAATAATTATTACATTGAAAGGGTAGTACTGAATTTGCATGAGTCGCAGAGCACCTGAGGAATGGGAGATAATCAGATTGGATTAAAGGAAGTGAAATGTAGCTCACATTCACTGAATCAAGAGCCCTTCACTAACATCACCCCCTCCCCTTGAAGAGAGTTTTCCAGCAGCCTGCATAAGAATAAACTAAGATTTGTTTGGATTTTTAACCCAAAGGGTTAGCCACCCAGGATAACTCAAGAAATAGTGTGTTAGATTGAGATTTTTATTTCCTTGCAAGTTTACAATGTGGTTGACAAATTGTAGGAAGTATATATACATAGGTAGTTTACATTGAGGGTTTACAATGATCTGTAGTGCAAAGAGAGCCACTATCATGCCTTGGCATTACAGGTAGTCTCAACGTAACAGATTACTGATTACTTAACACTAGACATAAAAAACAGTTTGATCAGGTTGCACTAATTATACAACAGGCTATACTTATGTCAAATACAGTGGACCCCCGCCTTACGAACGCATCGCGTTACGTTAAATCTGCCATACGAAGCATTTGAACGCAAAAATTTTGCCTCACCTCGCGATAAAAAACTCGCTTTACGTGATTCGTCCGGGACACGTCCCACATGTGGCCTCAGTGCCAGTGTTCACAAGCCAGCCAGTGCGGTCGCATCTACACATACATTCGGTAAATTTCACATTATCCCAGTGTTTTTAGTTCTTGTAACTGCAAAATAAGTCACCATGGACACCAAGAAAGCTTCTAGTGCCATCCCTGTGGTAAAAAGGGTGAGAATTAGTATAGAATTGAAAAGAGAGATTAAGGAAATATGTGCAAAGTGGGATGAACTGCAAACCTTTACAGATGAAAATCACCCTGATGCAGCTACTGCAAGCCGTGTTGGCAACCTGTACAATGACAATGTTATGGCCCATTTTAGGAAAATCTTAAAGGAACGGAGGTACAGAGCTCTATGGACAGATTTGTTGTGCGACAGAGGTCCAGTGACTCTCAAGCCGGTCCTAGTGGCATTAAAAGAAGAAGGGAAGTAACCCCGGCAAAGGACTTTCTACCTCAAGTCCTAATGGAAGGGGACTACCCTTCTAAACAATAACTTCCACACTCTCCCCTCCTCCCATCCCATCAATCATCACCAGATTTATTTATTTATTTATTTAGTAATTTAAGCATACAAACAGAGGTACAAAAAATACAGGTAAGAGCAGCATGCCAAAGCCACTTATATGCATAGCATTACGGGCTGGCTTAAAATGAACTTAATCTTAACTAAGCAATGATGAAATCAGTGATAAAACATTATTGTAAACAGATAACTATAAAGCACAAATGAGTATTACAAAGACAGGTCATATGGTTGCTTGCATTGCTGTACATTCAGTCGAATGGAGTATTCTGTTAGGTAGTGTATTTAAAAAAATAATAAAGTTAGATTGGGTCCTAGGTTTAACATTTGTGTGATATAATTGTGAGTAACATTTAGGATATACAATTTATAAGGTTCAGTTATTCAGTTTTTATTTGGGTTTTTGAGTGAGTATGTGATCTTTGAGAAGAGACTTGAATTTATAAACAGGTAGTGTTTCTTTTATATTTACAGGTAATGAATTCCAGATTTTAGGGCCTTTTATGTGCATTGAGTTTTTGCATAGCGTGAGATGGACACGAGGAACATCAAAGAGTGATCTGTGCCTTTGTGTTATGGTCATGTGTTCTGTTGAGGTTGGCAAGGAGATGTTTGAGGGGAGGGTTAATATCAGAGTTAAGTGTTCTATGTATGTAATAGGTGCAATAATAAGTATGGATGTTTTGTATGGCGAATAGGTTGAGTGTTTTGAATATTGGTGGAGTGTGTTGCCTGTAGTGAGAATTTGTTATCATTCTAACTGCAGCCTTTTGTTGGGTAATTAGTGGTCTGAGATGGTTAATTGTTGTTGAGCCCCATGCACAAATTCCATAGGTGAGATAGGGGTAAATAAGAGTGATAAAGGGCCAGGAGGGCTGACTGTGGAACATAGTACCGTATCTTCGATAGTATGCCTACAGTCTTGGAGATTTTCTTAGAAATTTGTTGTATATGTGTATGAAATTTGAGTCTTTTATCGAGGTGGATTCCTAGGAATTTTCCCTCTGTTAGCTTTGTGATAGGTGATCCGTTTATTGTTATGTTAAGAGGTACATCTGTAGCTCTGTTACCAAACTGAATGAAGTAGGTTTTGTCAATGTTTAGTGTAAGTTTGTTAGTCCTCATCCAGGTAGATATTTTCTGTAATTGGGTTTGTTTACAGTATTGGCTAGCGTGACTGGGCTCGGGTGAGAGAAGACGTATGTAGTGTCATCTGAAAAAAAGTGTGGGTTTGAGTAATTGCGAAGCATTTGGTAGGTCATTTATGTATAGGAGAAAGAGAAGAGGGCCAAGGACACTTTCCCTGTGGGACACCAACTGTAATTGGTTGTGCGGAAGAGCTTGCCCCATTTGCGTACACATATTGGCTTCTGTTGCTGAGGTAAGACTTGAGGTAGTTGAGGGAGTGCCCTCTAATACCATAGTGTGACAATTTTACGTGGAGCAAGTCATGGTCAACTGTATCAAAAGCTTTACGCAAGTCAATGAAGATCCCCAGTGGGACTTCTTTTTTCTCTATTGCAGTGTATATATGTTCTGGGCATGTGATAATAGCATCATTAGTATTTTTATTAGGCCTGAATCCAAATTGGCAGGGGTTGAGAAAGTTTTGGGAGATGAGGTAGGAGTAGATTCGTTTATGAATTAATTTTTCGAAGATTTTTGAGAGAGGGTGTAAATTGGATATTGGCCTATAGTTATTCAATCTTGTTTGGTCTCCTCCTTTATGGATCGGGGTGACCCTTGCTATTTTGAGAACTGTAGGGAAGGTGGAGGATTCAATGGATTTGTTAAAGAGTGTTGCAATGATTGGTGATAGTACTTGTGACGTTTTTTTGTATATAAAGGGTGGTAAGGTATTTAAATCTCCTGCCTTGTTTTTCAGTGCATTGATAATAAGGGAGACTTCGTATGGGTTAGTCGGAGCTAGGAACAGTGTGTTCAGGTAGTTGCCAGTGAGGTAGTCATTTGGTGGGGTATCTGAGCTTGGGATTTTATTGGCAAGGTTTTGACCTATAGTGGAGAAGAAATCATTGAGTCTGTTTGCTGTTTCTGTTGGTGGAGTTGGGGTTCATCTGATTTGCTAATTTTTATTTCGCTATGTCGTGATATCTTTTTGTTCCCAGAATTTCTGATAGGGTCTTCCAGGTCTTTTTTATATCACCTCGTAAGTTGGATAATCTGTTCTCATAATACAATTTTTTTGCCCTTCTTATCAGGCTGGTTAGGATTGACGAGTAACGTTTTGTTTGGTCTCTGGTTATGTGACCCATTCTGTACTGTTTTTCATATCGTGTTTTGTATTTATGGATTTGAGAATGCTGGGTGTTAGCCAGGGACTGTTCAATCTCTTAGCTGTCATCTGTTTAGTTTTTTTGGGGCAGTGCTTGTTATAAAGGTATTGGGTCTTTTTTAAGAAAATTATTAAAACATTCGTCAATATCTGTATAGATTTCTAGCTCAGTGTGCCAGTCAATGTTTGTTACTGCTGTTGTGAAGTTATTAATGGCTGCCTCATTGTGAAGTCTGAAGGTGACTTTAGTAGTGTCTTGGGGTATTTTACTAAGAGTTGTTATGAGGAAAGTAGGGTAGTGGTCTGTGGTATTATCTGTAATTATGCCTGATTTTAAAGGGGATATGGTGTTGGTCCAGATGTGGTCAAGTAGGGAAACACTAGTCTCTGTAACTCTTGTAGGTTTTGTTACTGTTGGTAGCAACATGCAGTTACTCATTGTGTTTGTGAATTCAGTAACGTGTGGGTCCTGGTCTTGCAGGAGATTTATATTGAAGTCACCTGAGAGTAGTAAGTGATCTTTGTTCATGCGTGCATCAGTTATCATACTTCCTAGGTTTTGACTAAAATGGCTAATGTTTGATTGTGGAACTCTGTAGATGTTTATCACTATGAGAGGTTTTTGTAGGTATTTGGATTTGAATTTAGCTATTATATATTCCCCATGTTCATCCCTTGTGCAAGTATTAGTGATACATTCTAGTTGGTCTGAGTAGTATATAGCAGTGCCACCCCCTTGTTGGTCTGGCCTACAGTTGTGTATGGCTGTGTAACCAGGAATGGCATAGACATCTGTAATATCAGGCTTTAGCCAGGTTTCAGTTAGTGTAATGATGGACATATTGGCATATGGACATAAAGGTGTCATGTATTCTATTCTTAGTAGAGTAGTAATTGTGCATGTCTTCTTCAGTTTGTGTGTATTAAAATTAATATTTCATGTGGTAAAAAATTTTTTTTTTTTCATACTTTGGGGTGTCAGGAACAGATTAATTTGATTTCCATTATTTCTTAAGGGGAAAATTAATTCGGCTAACAATAATTTCGGCTTATGATGAGCTCTCAGGAACGGATTAATATCGTAAGGCGGAGGTCCACTGTATATGTTATTCAACATATGCATTAAAATATTTGTGTTAAAATATGAAAATTTATTGTATTCTGAGCATTTACTTTTGGTGTTCTGAAGCTAGGGGAGTAACACTGAGCAATTATAATTTGAGAAGGTGGAGAGTGATTTGGTAGCTTTGTTGGTAAGGTTAGGTACTGAGTATTTAGTTTTGGGTAAGTACGTGGTTTTTAAGAAGAGTCTTGAATTGATGTACATACTGGGTTCCTTTGGTATTCACTGGTAATGAATTCCAAATTTTTGGACCCTTTATGTGCATAGAGTTTTTACAGTGTGAGATAGACATGTGGAACATCTAAGAGTGACCTGTGCCTTGTGTTATGGTTGTGTGCCCTGTTAAGGTTGGTAAGGAGAAGTTTGAGTGGAGGGTTTATATTTGAGTGGAGTGTTCTATGTATGTAGCAGGCACAATAATAGGTATGGATGTTCTCTATGGTGAGTAGGTTTAGACTTCTGAATACTGATGGAGTATGCTTCATCATCATTCTGCGTGCAGCCTTTTGCTGGGTTGTTAGTGATCCGAGATGGTTTATTGTTGAACCCCATGCACAAATTCCATAGGTGAGACAGAGGTAAATCAGTGAGTGATACAGGGCAAGGAAGCTGGGTGTGGAACATAGTACCATATCTTTGATGGTATGCCTATTGTCTTAAGAGATTTTCTTGGAGATTTGTTGTACATATGTGTCTGAAATTAGAGGCTACTGTCAAGGTAGATTCCTAAGAATTTGTCCTCTGTGAGCCTTGTGACAGGTGATCCGTTTATCATTATGTTAAATAGAACATTTATAGTTCTTTTTCCAAGCTGAATGAAATAGGTTTTGTCAATACTGTACTGAGAGTAAGCTTGTTAGTCATCATCCAGGTAGATATTTTCTGTAATTCAGCATTTACAGCGTTGGCTAGTATGACTGGGCTTGGGTGAGAGAAGACGCATATAGTGTCATCTGCTAATAATATGGGCTTGAGTATTTGAGATGCACTTGGTAGGTCATTGACGTAAATGAGAAAGAGAAGTGGGCCAAGGACACTTCCCTGCGGGACGCTGACTGTAATTGGTTGTGTGGAAGAGTTAGCTCCATTTGCGTACACATATTGGCTTCTGATGCGAAGGTATGACTTTAGGTAGTTGAGGGAGTGCCCTCTTATAACATAGTGTGTTAATTTTATGTGCAACAAGTCATGGTCAACTGTATCAAAAGCTTTAC